TCACAAGAAAAAGATTAACGAATTCAACCATTTGACCCAGCATGGTGGTGCACACGTGTAATCCCAGCACTCCTAGGGGCTCAGGCAAGAAGACCGTAAGTTCGACCCCAGCCTAGGCAGCTGAGGGAGGCTCTGTCTCAAACGAAAAAAAAAAAAAGGTTGCAGATGTAGCTCAGTGTGAGGCCTTGGATTCAATCCCCAGTATCAGAAAAAACAAATTCAACTATTTTAAAATATCCAAATACCAAGAGACACTATAAAGAAAGCTAAAAGTTACAGAAAGGCTACACTGGGAAATTTTATACTGAAAAATACCTAAAAATCTACATTACATAAAGAATTCCCTAAAATGAATAAATAAAAGGCAAACAAAAACTACAAACAGGCAATTTTGGGAAAAACCCCAAAGGCCAACAAACCAGGGAAGAGAAATTCTAATAACTGGAAAAATGCAAAATAAAACAACAATGAAAATTATTTTACACTATTAAGGCTGACAGTTAAAAAGTAGCACATAAGATCCTAATGAGATAACTGACATCGTGAAATGGGAAGAAAAGGGCTAAAGGGGTAGGGAAAGTGGGAAGGGTATGGGAAAGGTAATAAGGGAAAAAAATGAGAAAATGAAGAAATGGAAATAAAGTGTTTGTAAATGGGGAGGGGAGGAGGGGGTGAAGGGAGGTCAGGGACAAGGGGAAAAAATGAGAACTGAGACCACTGGTCATGTAAAGGTACAAGATCCCAATAATGAATGTAACTGTACTGTATCCCTAAAATGTACCAATAAACTCAATAAAAGAAAAAAAAAAGTAGCAAGCGCATGGTAAGAACAAGGGCAGCTCCGTTCAGTGCTTGTGAGGTTATACATGGCTGGAATCCCCAGAAAGCTGTAGAAATCCTCTATCAGAACGATTGAAACAAGCTGCACAGCTCACGGCTTCTGCTTCCATGTGAAAATGCCATGAAGAATCACATCTTTGTGTGTAAGGAAGCATGCAGTAGAATTCTTCCAGCAGTGCTTTTATAGCTAAATTTGGGTATAAACCAAATCTCTATCAGGAAATCAGGGGACTGATGGGCAAATGCGTGAAGACTAGATAAAGAAGATGTGGTTTTCCTATAAAATGGAATACTACTCAGCCATAAAGAATGAGAAATTAGTCATTCACAGAAAAATGAATACATATTGAGGATATACTCAAGTGAAATAAATAAGTCACACATGTGTAAATACCAAATAGTTTCTCTGGTGTGAAAAACTATAATGGTGCATAAGATCCTAATGGTATAAATGACAATGTGAAATAGGAAGAAAAGGGCCGAAGGTGTAGGAGAAGCGGGAGGGGAAAGGAAATAAGGGAAAAGAAAAAAAAAATGAAAAAATGGAAATAAATAAAAAAATTGTAAATAGGGAAGGGAGGAGGGGGTGAAGGGAGAGCAGGGGTAAGGGGAAAAAAAGAAAACCAAGACCTGTCATGTAAAGGTACAAGATCCCAATGATGAGTGTAACTGTACTGTATACCTAGAATGTACCAGTAAACTCAATGAGAAAAAAAATCAGGGAAATAAAAAATACATTATATATATAAAGATAAAGCAATGGAATATTTATACCAATAAAATGAAGCAGAGCTACATGCATTGGAAATCTCAAAAACTCACTGATAGGAAAAGCAAGGTTTCTAATATATATATGATATAATTATATGAAGGTAATGATACAAAATAATTAATATGCTGCTTCAAGAACAAAACATACTAAGTAAAACTGTAAATCCCTTAGAATAATACTCAAAAATTTATAGCATTTATCTCTAGTGCGTAGCAAGGGAATTGTGATAAAAAATCAATTCATCTATAATTTAAGTGGTACTTGTAAATATTACTTCTCAAATGGGTTTCTGGGTACACGGAACTTTGTTATATTACTCTAATTACCTGAAAAAGTTTGAACGCCTGAATTTTTTTATAAAGCAAATAAATGTAATTACTAGTTTTTAAACGATAGTCATCCTAAGTGAAAAATTGTAAGGACATAAAAATAAAAGCGTAGCTTACAAGCATGACTCTATGCCTCAACCTTAAATAATAATTATATATACCATTAATTGAACCAACATTTTCAACGTATTTTATTTTAGGAGGATAGATGGATATATTTTTGTAGTGTAGAGTTTGAGTAAAAGAGCTAAATCCCCACATTCCACAATGGCAAATTAAAAGAGAATGTCCAAACCTAACATTTACTTAGTTACTCAGGCCTGAACAGGAAGAATCACGGGTGAGTACGTCACCTTCAGAGAACAAAATTCAGGTGTTTGGAAGGATAGTGATGCTTTGAATTGAAGGCTTGGGGAGCAGATTGAGCTTTAAACTATATATGTATAGAAATTCAGTAAAAACAAATCTTAATTTAGAAGCTAAAGAATGTATCGTACTCACAGAAATGTCCGTAACCCAAATTGGATTTACAGCTAGCACTGACATCAGCAGTATCTACTTCTGGGTGTGGTCTGAGTCTTCTCCCTTTCCGGTATGCTTTAAATAGCATCCGCTGCTATCCAAAATAATATTATACCTGCCAAATGAACTCACACTCAGTAGCCCCCACATCATCATAAAAAATAATAATTGTAAAATCCGTTCTTTCCACTGCCTCAGAAAGCCAGCCCAAATAGGAGTTTACGGAAAAAAGTAGTTTATGGAAAAATATGAAAAACGTAACTGTCACTCCTCATGTTACCAGCCATTCCTAGTACAGCAGGAAACAGAGATACAACAGATGATAAGGTGATCACTATCCTGCGGCACTGATTCTTCGAGGGTTACGCCGCCGGTCTTGTTTCGAATGACTCTGGAAAGTGAATCACTCAGCATTGGCACCCAGGGAAATCTTCCCCACGTTCACTACAGAGCACCTGCAGCAACGCTGCTCTACACATCCACCAGATGAGCTGAGAAATGGGAATGAATCTTCCGGGGGAAAAACAAGAGACAGGGAAACAAAAGTTTCTAAAAACGTATGCGCGGACACTCCCTACTCTGCGATTTCCCAGAGAGAAAAGGACTTAAGATCATGCAGGCGAAGGTGTTCTTCCTGTTCTAAGTTCTGTGTCCTTTCACACACAGTAAAGATGGTCGTGGTCCAGGAAGGATTTTCAGGGAAAGTTAGTGAGAGCACTACTTCCAAACTAATGTGTTAAGGGAGTAGGGCAAGAGGAGGAAACAGCCTGTCCTATACCAACCATGAGGTCATTTTATCCTATCGACCTATATGTGGGTATAATGAATCATCTGGTCCTAAATCACTTTTTGCCCAAGCTCTGCTCCTTCAATAGAATGGGCCCTCTCCCAAGACTGATTTCCTTGCATTCTGTCAGCAGCGAAGGCACAGTGAATGATAAATTTGTCTTTTTCTTCCTCCTCGCACCAACTTAGGAGCTTTGTACAAATTAAAATTCCTTTTATTGAGCATTGGGCTGTACTCTCAGTACACATAAGAATGAGATAACAGAACATACTACCATGACTACTAATAACAGTAGCTAGCATCACTTTGGTATTTACTATGTCCTAGGTATTATCCCTTAAATTATTTTTAAATTCTCCCAATTAAATTCATACCTTAAGTTTTCTAACTCAAAAAAAAAAAAATAAGGCCAGGCATGGCGGCGGCACTCGCCTCGAATCCCAGCCCACTGGAGGGCTGGAGCAGGTCAGAAATCGAAGCCTTACCTTAGTCATTTAGCAACTAAATGAGACCCCACCTCAAAAACTAGTAACAACAACAAACATTAAAACGGCTGGAGATGTAGCTCCATGGGAAAGCCCTGCATTCAATCCCCAGCAGTGGCAAAAAAGAAATATGATAGAAAATAATTCCAATGCAAGCAACTGTTAACAAAAAAATGATTTAGTCAGTTATACAAAGTTCTTACAGTAGTGAGCCTGGGCTTAAATGTTAGCACAATTCTGTTATTATAAGCGAGATAGATAATCCAGACCTGGGTGGCTGTAAATGCCACTGAGATTAAACAAACTTCCAAATCTAGATCTAACCCTTATCTTTTTGGAGAACTTAAAATTTAAATGTCCAACTGCTGGATCCTCTTACCCAGTCACAGGCTGTGATAAAGGAGAAAGAAGTTCACTGGTGCAAAACGTTCAGCGTAGAGCTTGACATCCCAGAGTAGAATGCACATGTTTTCATTTGCGTTCCGGCTCGCCTCTTCTCCCTCTGTCCCTCACCTGCTACTCCCCATCCAGTGCTGTTTGCTAGCTGCCCTCTGAGTAAGCCCTGTTCACTCCTGCCTTGGAACTTCTTAACAAGCTGCTGTTTCCTGCCAGAGTCTTTCTCCACTTGGCCCTCAGCTGCCTGTTCTTTCTTGTCTGAAGATCTTTGATCTCTACAAAGCCTCCTCACTGAGTGTCTAGTTTTCTGGCTAGCACTTGTCACTAACTTTATCCATAAGTGGTTATTATTTGTTTACTAAGGTTTTCTCCCAACACTGAGAAATCCAAAGTCCAAGAAGGCAAAGATTCTGCATGTCTTGTTTTCTCTAATCAAATTCTAGATTAGTGCTTTTCTGGATGCTCAATAAATATTTATAGTATTTTTATATCATGGCAATTTACTTCTTTAAATACCAGCACCAGGTAAGACTAAACACATTGATTCTCTGCTGTCCCTGTAAAGTTCAGGTTATAACAACAGTTTTCAACAAGTACATGGATGGTGAAGGCACTTCTGTTCTTTCTTTTCCCATCTAAGTTCAGTGTATTATAATATAAACGTTAAGTATGAATAATTCTTCTAGAGCACATTCTAGGAAGTGTTAAGTGGAGTTGATTTGACCCATGAGCTACACAAACTCTTCATAAATATAAAGTCAATACACAAGTCAATCAGTATGTAGTAAACTGTAATTGCATATCATATCATATCATATCATATCATATCATATCATGTGTACATTTATTAAGACAAAACTTGGATTTACCCAGCAGTCTCCAGAGTGGCTGATAACCAAGGAGAAATTTGGGGATCGCATGAGTGAGGCTGGATTCAGTTGCAAATTGTTCTCTCTCCTTGCAGATGTGAATTCGCTGAGGTGTGAAGTCATCATCATAATTTTGGCACATCACTGTGGTGCTTGGACGGAGGATTTCTAAAAAAAATAAGCAAAGAATTAAACTGTGGGAGAGCTTGCAGTGCAGCTGGAAATAGCAGTCTCTGATGAGTGAGCCGAGCCAAAAGCCAAAACTGAATAATGCTCTGAACAGCAATGTTGCCACTGTACTGCTTCTCCGACACCCGCTTGCTCACTAAGGTCAGGAGCCAGGACACATCCACATCCTGTGAACAATGTCCTGCAAGACCAGCACAGAGCCATATTTAAACCCAGATGCCTGCTTGGAAAGAGGCAGCCTGAAACATGTTATAGGAGAATATTACTTATTTAATTATGCACAACCAAAGCCACAACACTTTCACTCTCAAAACAGTACCAAATAATCACATGTGATGCTATGAGGGGGACCTCCAAGTAATTAAGTGGAATTTTTGTATATTAATGCAAGATGACTATGTTGTAAAAGGGCACATAGTACCTGAGACTTAGTGTACTACTAATCAAAAACATCCCTGGGTATTTATACTTTATAGATTTTTATAAAGTTATTGATGCTTCAGAGATTCCAAAAAAGGGTCCATAAGTTCTACAAAGGAGATACTTCTTTATTTTTTCTAACCAAGGACCACATCCTCAGTTCTTGACAAAAAAACAGGTACAGAGAGTAAGAATACTTCTCACCAGGCCAAAATAGCCACACAGATTCCTGGCACGAAAAAAGTAAACACTAAAAAGGCAATAAATGTTGATATTGCTTTTTCCAACTATGCATGATTCTGAGTTTCACTGAGACACAAACACCCTTCTTGGTATAAACATAATATTGAAATTTGATGAATAGTAACAGTGATGATGACAGCAGAAATGATTTCTTTTCACAGGATTTCATTTATTCATTTCTAATATTCAAAAATATATTCTTATTTTCCTGAAATGCTATAGCCATCTTCTTGGAATTTGGCTTTAACATCTTTCCCTGGGTAGTAGATCAGACTGACTAATCAGCAATCGAAGTAGGAAAAAGTGCTTACTTTTTCCCACTAATTCAAGGCACTGGGGGACACATGCTTGTACTTCTCTGTGCTCTGGCATGGTTTTAGGCATTAAGCACTCTCTCTGGGCACAGGGCTATACCAAATCACACAAAGGTTTTATTCAGGGTCACAGACCCAACTGGAAGGCTCTTCAGAATTCCAGACATTTCCATCTGATGGAACGTAAGTGTTTGTTTGTTTGTTTGTTTTGGTACCAGGGATCCAACTCAGGACCTTGTGCTTGTGAGGGAGGCAGCAGAACCACTGAGCTAAATCCCCAGCCCCAGGAATGTAAGTTTTATTACTTAACATATACTATATCTTTAAGCTAAACTATAAATGGATAACAGTTAGCAAAATGAGGTGTCTGACCAAAGCAAGAATTCCTAAGAAGGCTCTGTAGCCATAATTTTGTATAAAAGAGCATTGAAATGCATTTCTCACATAAAGATTGGGGCAGAATCAAGATTTAACAAACTTGTAGAACATTCTTTGCATCCATAATGCTTTTAAGTTACTGATTTTTTTTTCTGGTACCTGGAATCAAACTCGAGACCTTGCACTTGTGAGACAGGCGGTGGAACCACTGAGCTAAATCCCCTTAAGTTACTGAATTTTGATTAGAAGTTTAAATAAAACTAAAAACCTAAAACTTCATTAAATAATTCTTTTCCAATTATTTTCATAGAATACCTTTATTATAAGTTAGAAACTGATAACATATAAATTCATAGCATTTTCCTGTCTATACAAACTTGTGCTTTTTCCTGAAGCCCGAAATTCACAATCATTCTTTGTCACAAAGTACACTTCGAAGGTTAGACTGGCCAGGATTACTGGTTAAAGACACTGGCAGAGTACAGGAGAGTAAACAAATGTGTTCCTGTTGTCCAGAAACACCTGCAAATGTTCTCAAGTACTCAAGTCCTAGCTTTCAGACGCTGTTTTTTCCTCTTCCTGAATTAAGAATTTGTATGACCTGGTTAAGCAAATACTCAGTGGAAGGATAGTCTATATTTCATGACGAAAGGCACGGGAAAATAATACGCACCTTGTCTCTCTCTTGACTAATGTAAAATCTGATCATTCATTCCATTCCATGGCCCACACTGGGTTTACACAGCCAGAGCCTCTCTGCCAGGTAAAAAGACTTTAATGTCCCTCTTGAGAAGAAATTAACTGCTAAAACAGACTGAGGTGAAATGGAGTTCTGTCCTCTGTCCTCAATGCAGCCATTTTTCTCTTTTAATCTCATTCTTCCATTCAAGCAGAATGAAGACTTGGATCTTTGCCTTGAGCAGATTTCACTTCCAAGGTTCAAATTCTGGGATCTTGCTTAATTGCAGAGGTGAGCTACGCCCGGAGCAACTGTGCATCCAGCCCGCTTCCAGAGTGGGAAGGAAGAAAGGGGTGTCAGTCTTTCTCGTTTACACATCACCTGAATCTTTTTTTACTTATTCAGACAGACCCTGCTGGATTAGCTAATACCAAAAAGTAACATTGCTCAGGCAGACTCATGACAGCAAACTACAACAGACTCAGCTATGTGACTCAGGCTTCCCCAGCTGACATGGCAATGGCCTTTTATCCTGGGAGATCAGGTAGGAAAGTGTGAAAAGAAAAGTGGTCCTGTTGTAAGCACAGCCAGCTGACTAGCAGAATACTCTTTTGACAAAGTGACTTGTCTCTCCCAGAATGCAGCATGTGTGTTTACCACACAGGAAACTAAAAGGAAACTCAGCGTACTAGTCAGTGCTCTCCAGCTGAATGAGCATGTGTACAGAAAGGTCAAAGACTATATAAGGAATTGGCTGACAGAATTACAGAGGGGAGAGTCCGCGGAACTGCAGGATGAGTTGGCAAGCTTGAGATCCAGGAGAGCTTATCCTGTAGTTCTGAGCCGAGTCTCAAGGCCTAAGAACCAGGAACATTTGAAGCCAAAGAAGCTGATGCTTCACTCTGAAGATCATCAGAAGAGAATTCTTTCACCTAGGGAAGCACCAGCCTTTTGTTGGACTCAGGCTTCCAGTGGATTTAAGGAAGCCTACCCACATTTGGAGAGCAATCCACCTGCCCACCAATTTACATGTTAGTCTCCTGCAGAACCTTTCTCATAGAAATACCTAGAATGCTTTACTGTGGGCAAGTGACCCTGTGACCCAGTGAAATTCGCACATAAAATTAACCTTCACACCTGAGATGTGGCTTCATCTCATGCCCAGGACAAGCATGGTCAGCCTGGCTATGAGGCTCCGCGTAGCCCACTCTCAGCTCCTGCTTACAATACAAGTGCAGATGCTTCTTTTCTTTACTCTTCTTGACTTGGTGTAGGATCCAAGCCACTTTTATTCCCTGGACCCAGCTAGTTCCCACTTAGGAGTGTAAAGACCCACAGATGACACCAGTTCCCTTCACTCACATTATTTACTAATTTCTCTCTTCCTTTTCCGAGTCATCATTTTCTTTTAAAAATATGAGCCTCTATGCAGGTCTGACTCTTTTCACAGAATCTAACTCAAAGAGATTATAGAGCTATATAAATACAATGCAAAACTTTAAAACTTCCAGAAGAAAGATACCTATTCGATTTTGATGTGGCAATGAGTTCATATGACACTGGAAATAAGATCTGTATGAGAAAAGAAGATACAATGAATTGTACTAAAATGAGAAGCTTTTTCTCTGCAAAAGACACTCTTAAGAAAAGCAAAGGCTGGCAGTGTAGCTCAGCAGTAGAATACAGCTACATACACAGGGTCCTGGGTTCAAGAAAAGAAAGAAAACAAAATAAGAAGCTTCATATGGGAGAAAACATTTGCAAACTATGAATCTAATAAAGAACTTGTATTAAACTATAGAAAAAGGGCCAGAAATTTAGCTCAGTGGTTCCACCACTTGCCTGGCAAACTCAAAGGTTCTGAGTTTGATCCCTGGTCAAAAACAAAACACAAAACTATAGAAAAACATTTAAAACTGAGCATACATCCCAATTTAAATCTAAATAAACACCTCACCAAAGAAGTTATATAGAAGAAAAGTAGGATAAGAAAAGACGTTTAACACTATTAGTCATCAGGGAAACTGAAAATTAAAAGAATAATGGTAAATCACCACAAGCTTATTACAATGGTCTGTGGACTCTTGAGACTGAAGGCAAAAAAGGATTTCACGAGCAATGTCCTGAAGTAGAGTGTTCCCACAGGGGCCTATATACATTATTCTGACAATGCCCTACACATAAGCTACAACGGACTTCACAATTCATCTTCACAAGCATAACCAACAAATGTAGATGCTAATAACATGGCAACTGGGCAAGGTGTATATATGAGGGTTTCGTGCTATCCTCTTAAATCTTCTGCAGGTCTATGTTACTCTTTTAAAAAACATTTTGAAAAGATAAATATATCACCTAGTTATTTACTTCCTTTTACTGCAGTCCAAGTATTCCATTACAATTGACTATTATTCAAATTTGTACTTTGAAATTTATTATATAAATGTATTTGAAACATTTATAGTATTTGTTTTATGGAGTAAACCACACTTATTAATTCATCTTTGCTCCTAATGTCTTTTCAGATAATCTTTTTAAAATCCTTTCAAATAAAAATCTGAAGGTGACACGGGTCCATTTCAGATCAACAATACACAATGCAGATTTTTTTTCTTATGATTTGGCTAACAAAGTATTTTCCAGGCTATTGTAGCTCAGATTGAAATGTCCTCCAAAAGTATCATGTGCCCAACAGCAGAGGTTGTAGAAGGAGATTAGATTATGGTGACACTAACATTATCACTGGGTACAACACGGAGGGATATATTCTTTCACGGGTTTTTCTCTTCTCTCTCTCCCTCCCTCCCTCTTTCTCTCCTGTCCTTCCTTGCTCTCTGCTCTCTGGCTGCCATGGATTTAGTGGTTTTCTTCCAGAATGCCCTTCCACCATGATATTTCTGCCTTGGAGCCAGAGAACCATGGACTGAAAACTCTGAAGCCATAAAATACACATTAATGATTGACTATATCTTGCTTAACACATACAAATACCAAAATAATATACAAAAAACTAAACCAAAATATAAAAAACCTGAGCAAATATTTGAATTTAGTATCACTATTATTAGATAAGATGATACCTAAAATAGCTTAAAAAATAAAATAGGTTAATGGGCTATAGCCAACCTTTTGTTTAAACACTTGATAAGACATTCTGCCTCTCGTGTACACTTCATAATCCCCCGTTCAAGGTTCTCTAAGCCTAAATTGAATTCTTCACCCTCTGCATAATTCTATTTAGTCATTTTTTTCAAGTAAAGATTCTGGCCATTTCCTATATACCAATCATGCATGTATATATGAACATCATCATTAAATAACCATTCTGTTCAGGTTAAATGAACACAGTCCCTTTAATCTTTTCAATTCAAGACCAACTGTTTTTCTTCTTGTGTGTGGTTATTTGAACATTTTTCTAATTATTACAGTCATGCCTTTAGTCCAGCACCAAAGGATGAGACCTGACATTCAAGACAACATATTTAAACTATCTATTTGATTTGGAAGAGAAATAATCTAGAGAAAAAAATCGGGTTACCTAATTTTATCATTGACAATGAATTATAACTGAAAACATTTTCAAGTACATTTCAAACTTCCTTTTGTGCATATGGATACAAAACGGAATTTATAATCTGATAAAATATAACTTTTTAAAAGCATATTCCCCATGCAAATACAAAAATATAGTCTATTATCTGGGACACTGTGATGAGATGGGTTGGTTAACAAATTTTCCCCAATATTAAGCAGTGATAGAAAGAAACACTTGACATTTTGGGTCCCTGGCAGCTCTCATTTCAGGCAGCAAGTTTTCTTGAATTGTGAAAGAGTTTTCCTGCTCCTCACAGTGTCTGCAGCCACACAGCTTTTTGGAACAGAATTTACTGCCTTTGTCAAATGGGCCTAAAGAGACATCACTACCTTGTCCTCTGGTCACTGCAGGAAAGCTTCCATGTGAAGGCTCAGGCATTTGGGCCGACCTGAATGAGATTCATTGACTTCATAAATGCAGTGAGTTGCTTATGTGATCCACGAAGCAAAATGTATGTAACACACTTAACACAGGCCAAACATCTACTAAGGCTTTGGGGAAGAAAAAAAAAAGAGCTAGTTCCTCTAAAAAAAAAAAAAAAACCAAAAGGATTTTGCAGATTTACAAATCTAAGGGGTAGAAACTGTGGTAGAAAGATGTTTCTTTCTATTACATGAATAAGAATTTTTCTGATTAATTACCCTGCTTGACTATGGGAATTAATTTCAACTGATCTCTGGCCAACATGACTCACATTATCAGAGGTTGAGCAGATGTAAAATCGAAGACCCCAATCTCAACTTTAAATGGTGCCATGCCTCTAACTCTTGTACTAAACCAAACTGCAACCTGGCAGTGAAGGTCTTGGATTCTCTGACATTTCACAGTCCCTTCCCCTTCTCCGTTCCTAGCCCTAAGTCTCGACTCCTGAAATCACAACAAAAGGGTTTTGCTCTTCTGTTCCTGCCCTTACTTCCTCCCTTCCCTCTTCTTACAAGCTATGAAGGAAAGCCCCACTTCTCTCACTCACAAAATCCCAGCAACCTCACCCTTCAAATTTCACTTCTTGTTCATGACCTATTGAGTACTGACATCCAGCAAAACCAGTGCAGCCGATGCTGCAATTTTAAGCATGATTTTCAATATTACAGAAGTGAGAACTGAGTTTATGAGAGGATGTTTACCAAGCCCCTCTTGCATTCAGTTAAATGCTGCTGGGGGACATGACTTGCATCTTCTAAGTATGTTGTGTATTCTTACAAAACCTACCATAAAACATAGCATTATATCATGTGTAAAGATACAGTTTTTGAGGCTATAATTAGAGAAAAGACATTCAATGGTACCAGGAATTGGGAAAGACGTCCTTAAGAAAAAGCAATACCTTAGTCTTTGTTTCTAACCATTTATTCATAAACAATATGAAATTGAAGTGATGATTTCCAATCTGTGAGATGTTTCTGATCAATCTATCCAGGTAATTGAGATAAATCTGACAACTGCTGCAGGAGAGATCTGGGCCACTGAACTTTTCATAAAAACTCAGAAAGTAATTTATTCTTTGGGGCCTTTGCTTTTCAACAATAGTTGCTTTTGTTTTTCCTGACCTAATCTCTCTCAATGTCTGTCTGATGCTTGAACATCCTCAAGCCAAGACACACATTCCACCCCTTTTGCTAAATAAACATTCTGTTTTGAAAAAAAACCTAACTACTAGTGCTAACAAGATGTTCAGAGGACACTCACAAGTATCCACAGATATCAGGAAACTGGGGCTAAGGAAAAACATGTA